CCCCAGCCAGCCCAGCCCACCCGCTGGGTCGCCCCTCGGAACCGCGGCAACGGCTTCGGGCAGAACGGAGCGGACGGGAACGGAGTGGGACCAGCTCAGGCCAGCTCCAGTTCTGCTCCTTCAGAGCCTCACCCAGTCCTGGAGAAACTAAGATCCATCAACAACTACAACCCCAAGGATTTTGACTGGAACCCCAAGCACGGGAGGGTGTTCATCATTAAGAGTTACTCCGAGGACGATATCCACCGCTCCATCAAATACAACATCTGGTGCAGCACGGAGCACGGGAACAAGAGACTGGATGGTGCCTATCGCTCCATGAACGGGAAGGGGCCCGTGTACCTCCTGTTCAGTGTCAATGGGAGTGGTCACTTCTGCGGGGTGGCAGAAATGAAATCTGCTGTGGACTACAACACGTGTGCAGGGGTCTGGTCCCAGGACAAGTGGAAGGGACGTTTTGATGTCAGGTGGATTTTTGTGAAAGACGTTCCCAACAGCCAGCTGAGGCACATCCGCCTGGAGAACAACGAGAACAAACCTGTCACCAACTCCAGGGACACTCAGGAGGTGCCTCTGGAAAAGGCTAAGCAGGTGTTGAAAATCATTGCCACCTACAAGCACACCACCTCCATCTTTGATGACTTCTCACACTATGAGAAACGCCAAGAGGAGGAGGAAAATGTTAAAAAGGTAATTTGTCTTGTCTGTGGTTGGTCAAGGCCCGTGGGGCAGGAGGTGGAGGAGGGCTGCCTTGTGCTGGGCTGAAGGTGTGGGCTTGTGAGCAAGCTCAGTGGCCATCAGACTACCTCTTGGCTAGCTGGGTGCTCAGACATGGAACCCATGATCCAGTTTGGGGTGGATCTGGGTGCTGGCACTCCAGCAGAGCAGGATGACCTGCCTGGGTCACCCTCTGGTTGCCCCTCATCAGCCTTCCCTGGGTGCTGTATTCCAAACAAAATGGATTTCTGTGCTCCTGGCAGCTCCTGGGTGGGAACAGTGGGAAGCAGGAGCTCAGTGGGGGGTATGGGGAGTTGCTGGAGCCTCGACTTTGAACAGCCACTAATCCATCCCCTGCCCACAGCAGGGTCAGTGTGACAGATGTTTCCCACCACTTGTCAAACCTTCAGGAGCTGCAGTTCCTGTCCCTCCCCGGGCAATCTATTCCCACACTTAATTACCCTTCCTGTTAGAGCTTTGTCTAATGCCCAACCTACAGCTCCCCTGCTACAATTTCACCCTGGGACTACTTGTCCTCTCCCTGGTGGAGCAGATCGGGCTGTTCCTCCTGGCAGCCAGCTGGGCTGTGTGTGGAGCTGGTGGGCTCTTCACCCACCTGCACCCTGTGCTTTGAATCCTGCTCCCATCATGAACGGGAGGGTTGCTAATTGAAAATTCTGCCTAAAACCCAGTGGATCTTCCTGGGGTGCAGCTGTGTTGAAGTCACCTGTGGCTGACCTTGCCCACCACGGGGGTCTTGCTTGTACTTGATCAAAACAGTAATTAGGAATGAGCATTAGCACAGCTCTCTGGTGGGCTGCCAAGTTTTATGACCATCTCTTTAGTTTCAGCAATGGGGAATTTTCCACCCAACTGCTGAGGAACTGAACCAGGAGCTGCAGCTGCTCACAGTGACAGGGGGTGCAGTTTTAAAATGTTTAATGTATATATTGACTTGTCTGTACAAATAACATCACCTGTACACAAGGGTGGTCACATCTTGGAACTGATACTCAAGCACTTAGAGTGCTTGAAGAAAACTTGGAAGGGAGGAATGATACCTTGCAAGGTGTGGAGATGTGAACTTGTTTTTTGAGAACCTGGATATTTTGTATGGCTTCAGATCCTCAAATTGCTCCATTTGGGATCCAGCCTGTCCTGAGGTGGGGATTTCTCTGTTATTGACTAAAGGTTTGAATGCAATTGGGAATCTAGTCTGTGCAGGATGTCTCGGGGAGTGAACATCTCCAGATGGGACTTCATGGAGCAACAGTTTGCAGTGGGAGAGGGACAGACCTTGGCACAGTGGGATAATGCAGAGGAGCAGGGTAACAGTACTGGGGAAGTTGGCTTAGGGGTCTGGGAGTGTGGAAGCAGGTTGTGAGCAGCAGGAAGAACAACAGAGTGGGAAAGGCTGGGGGAAAAGTGGACAGACTGATGGTATTTCTGCTGTGTTTGCAAGTTTTAATGTCTGGAAGTCATTAAGGAATTAAAAACGTGGCTTAGTAGTTTCCTTCAAGCTGTGAACCAGAACTGAGCCCTGGGACAGGCTGCCCAGGGAGGCTGGGGAGTCTCTCTTGCTGGAGACATTCCAGACCCACCTGGATGTGTTCCTGTGTGATGCACTCTAGGTGATCCTGCTCTGGCAGGGGGGTCGGACTGGATGATGTTTCCAGGTCCCTTCCAACCCCTAAGATTCTGTGATTCTGTGAACCATCTTGGTTGCATTTCCAAGTCTCCTCCCTGCCTGTGCTGGGCAGAAGCAGCAGCTGAAGGATGGTTGGTGCCAGCACCTCCTTCCTGAGTGATGTTCAGAGTTGATTAGGAAATGTTTGCCCTTTGAAAGGGAACTTAGTCATTTGTCTCTGGAATTCACATGCATGCTGGGAGCCTTGCAGCTCCACACTTGGTGTTTGCTCTTGGCCATTGACTCACTGGTGCAGCTCAAGGCCCCTGCACTGTCACATCCGCACAGAGGAAGTGACTTGCTCTTTCTTTCAGCAGTAGTTTGACCTCCTAGGTTGCTGGCTGAGGCAGCCTTGAAGTTGGTTGAGGTTTCTGCAACTGCCCATTCATGGTTTCATAGAGAAGCAGTTGGTTTTGCTCAAGGAAAGGTGCTTGCTTTTTTTCTGGAGTGAATGCTGATGGTTACCCTGGGGTTGTGGGTGGCAAAAAAACCAACCCCAAGGCATGCAGTGTCTGCCTTGAGGAATCTGGAGAGAGTCCAGAGGAGGCCACAGAGATGATCCAAGAGCTGGAGCAGCTCTGCTCTGGAGACAGGCTGGGAGAGCTAGGGTGTTCAGCCTGGAGAAGAGAAGGCTCCAGGGAGAGCTTAGAGCAGCTTCCAGTGCCTGAAGGGGCTCCAGGAAAGCTGGGGAGGGACTTGGGACAAGGGCAGGGAGGGAGAGGACAAGGGGGATGGATGAAAACTGGCAGAGGGGAGATTGAGGTTGCACATGAGGAGGAAATTGTTGGGTGTGAGGGTGGTGAGAGCCTGGCCCAGGTTGCCCAGGGAAGCTGTGGCTGCCCCATCCCTGGCAGTGTTGAAGGGCAGGTTGGATGGGGCTTGGAGCAACCTGGGCTGGTGGGAGGTGTCCCTGCCCATGCAGGAGGATGGATGTAGATGATCTTTAAGGTCCCATGCAACCCAAACCAGTCTGGGATTCTATGATCTCAGGGCATCACCTGGATCAGCCAGAGCTGAGGCACAGGGACGTTAAAGCCCTGCTCTGGCAGCAGCTGGCCCAGCTCCCTGCCTGCAGGTCTGGGTCTCTCAAGCTGCTTTTGTGTCCTGAGATCCCATTGCTACCAGCTCTTTGTCTCTGCCACCAGCCTTCAGATGGCTGTGATATGTTAATGTTCTGCATTCCTGTTCCTTGAAGCTTAAACATCTCAAGGTTTGGCATGTTTTAAACTTCTAGCAAGCTGCAGTTGTTTCACTTGGCTTCCAACTTTGATTTGCAGTTTGATTCCTTCTTGCTGCCCAAGCAGATGGACGAGCTCTTGTGAAAGTCTGGGAACTCTTGAATATTCTTTTAGACTTCTCACTGTTAGTCACTTTTCCTGAATTCCTTAAAATAGTTCCAAGAAATGATACGAAAAATGTTTTAATTCGTGTTCAGGCTGTTCCCTTTGGCTGGTGAAGGGGAGCAGACAATTCAGTGTTGGAAACACTCAAATCACTTGATCACTTGCTCGTCCTTGGCTGCTGCCTGTGCCCATCTCATCCTCAGAGACTAATGTCCATTTCTTTTCGGTCTCTTGCATTGCTATACTAATTCTTACCTTTTAAAAGGCTTGGATATTCTGAGCCAGAATAAAGCTGACAGCCAGGTCCATCCTCCCTGAAACATTTCAGGATTTCTTGAAACCCACAGCAGCTGCTTTTATGGTAGAGCAGATCAAACTTCTTTCCTTGCAAGAGCTGATTTACCTTTATTTTAAAAAGAGGACTTTTATTTTGGTTCTTTCTCCCACATTCGGGTTGCTTGGCTGCTTGCAGGTTCCAAGGATTTTAGGAAGGATATCCCATCAAAACCAGTCCTGTCTTTTCCAGTGCTCAGTTGTCAGGTTTGCAGTCAGAGAGAGACACTTGGTGTTGGGCCTGGGGTGGGTGTTGAGTCAGAATGAGCTGTGCAGGGTGGGCTGGTTGGGTTGGGGGGGTTTCAGGCTGAGGTCTGCCTGCCTGCAAACAGAGAGGTGTGTTTTGCCAGGTTGGAGCTTTTCTTTCCTGCTTTTTTGGCTGAGCTGACACCAGCTGCTGGGTGAAGGAGCATTCATGGTTCAAATGGCACCACCCCCTGAGGAGATAGGATTTAAGGGGAGACTAAAGGTTTGTTTGAAATGGGCAGGCTGTTTCACAGGTGCTGTCACAAAGGAATCCTTTCTAATGTGTTTTGCAAAGGTCTTTTTGTCTTCCTGATCTGTACCTTATTCCTGTGGGCAGGCTGGCACTGCTCTCTCATAGAATCATGGAATGGTTTGGGTGTAAAGGGACCTTAAAGATCATCCAGTCCCAACCCCCTGCATGGGCAGGGACACCTCCCACCAGCCCAGGTTGCTCCAAGCCCCATCCAACCTGCCCTTCAACACTGCCAGGGATGGGGCAGCCACAGCTTCCCTGGGCAACCTGGGCCAGGCTCTCACCACCCTCACACCCAAGAATTTCCTCCTCATCTCCAACCTCAATCTCCCCTTTCCCACTTTTAATCCATCCCCCCTTGTCCTCTCACTACACTCCCACTGTCACAATCCTGGCTGATGCTGCATTTCCTCTGGCTTTCCCATATCTAGCAGGACAACGTTTCTGACTTCAAGATTCAGTCCCTGGATATTCCATCTCCAGGCCCTGTTCCTTCTGTCAGCAAGGGAACACAGCTCCCATTCCCACAGTTCCTTTCACCCCCTGAACCCAAAGCTATTTGCTTTTTCTGCTCCAAATCCTGCCCACAGTGAAGTTAATTGATTGATGTCCTGAGTTTCCTTGCTGCAAATACCCTCTGCTCTTCAGCACTGAACTCCATCCCTCAGTTTATTTCCAGGCCTTTTAAATCCAGTACATCTGTGTCCATGCTCATCTATTTTCCCAGTACCAGAGGAAGCAGAAACCATCCTGCTTATTCTAGTACTTTGACACTGGGGTACTTTATGCTTAGGGTATTTTTCAGCCAGCACCAGAGAGCCCTTAACAACATTCTCATGATTGTGTTCTAGCTTTGTTTAAAGACAGGAGAAACTGGAGGAGAGGGGGAAGGCTTAGATCTGGCTGGTGCTCTAATCCTTGTTTTCTTCTGGAAAAGGACTGGTGCCAGTCCTGTTCAGCATCTTTATTGATGACCTGGATGTGGGGATTGAGTCCACCCTTAGTAAATCCATGGATGACACCACGATGGGGGGAGTGTTGATCTGCTGGAGGGTAGGAAGATGCTGCAGAGGGACCTGGACCGGCTGGGTCAATGGGCTGAGGCCCAACA